GACCACCACCACCACCAACACCACCACAATCATCGTCGTCGTCGTCACCCTCACCAATTAACATAAACACCGATTAACACTTGACAGAGTCCCACTACCTCACAGCATACATGATATCCGCCAGTATCGTCGACTCGACCGATCTAATACCGGACCGACAAGTATGCTACCTAGACATGCGGGCCCAACCGCCACCTCCAAGGATGGCCGTTAGGAGGTTGTGCCTACCGGATATGTTATTCGGTCGGTATATCACAATCGAAAAGCAGGCACAGCCCTACTTGAATAAGCTCGCCATTGCTGAAGTTCGAATCTATGGAACGCCAAAAGGAGGCAGTGAGTGAATTGTTATTATTATTATTATCATTATCATCACTATTATTTAAATTATTATTTAAAATACATCATTAGACAAGTGAAATGTGCGTACGTGAGGCTCACTCACTAATTGCACTAACAAAATAAATATTCAGTTACGGACGTAACCAGATCAAAAGAGTTAGTGAAGTTAGTGAGGCAGAACTTCAACGAATTTGAGGAGTACCCCGCCGGCAGTGCCATTGACGGCCAGCTGAACACTTGCTCCTTCACGGCCACTGAATATAAGAGCTTGCGTGGGAAGGTAACGTTTTAATAATAATAATTATTATTATAATTATTATTATTGTTTTTATTATTATTACTGTTGTTGTTGTTTTTGTTGTTTTTAATGTAGTGGCAGCAGTAGTAGTTGCAGTAGTTATACTACTAGTTGTAATTGTAGCAGTGGTAATAATAATAAAAAAAAAATAATGATGATGATGATGATGATGACGACGACGATGATGATAGGTGGGGTGGTGGCAAGTAGAATTTGCGGAAGAAGTTCCAGTAAAAGCCTGCCTCCTAAGCAATGTCAAGTTGAACGGTTGGTTCTCGTTCATTTTTGAATCTTCATCTTCATCATCATCCCGACTAGACCATCACCATCTTCATCAGTATTATCATCATTACCACCACTGCAAGCCCCCACCCAAAAAAATACACCACGTCCAGATTTTGACGCCTACAACTACATGGAAACTTTTGCCGTAGTAGTGACCAAAGAAGCTGACGAACTTCCGGTAAGCAATGACCTTGACCTCGCCACCATTAAGAAAGACTCCATATGTTATACCTACAACAGAAGCCACACCGTAATACCCGAGTGGGGTACCGTTTTGTACCTACCTTGTCAAAGGTACATTAGTTGAATTATTAATAGCATGACGCTAAATTCGATGATGGAGATTTTTTAAAATGGTTAATTGGTTATGTAGTTAAAATGGCATATTGCATAAATTAGTTAATTTTACGTGATGTGTTGATTGACGTGAATTGGTAAATAAAATCTAATTTAATTATTAATTAATTATTTATTAATTAGTTAATCAAATATTAATTAATAATCAAATAAAATTTATTGCTGAAATATTAAATAATACGAATTTTGAAATAGAACGATGTTAGGTAGATACGTGACGGTCATTCAGATGTCACCGGGAACAAGAAAAGACGCCATGAACATTTGCGAATTTTCTGTCTTGCAAACCGAACAACGTCTGTTTCGTTTGCAGTTTGTTTGTTCGTTCGTTCGTTTTTTGTTTGTTCGTTCGTTGTTTTGTTCGTTCATTTGTTTCTTTTTTCATTTCTTCCTTTACCCCTACCTTCATTCATTCTTCTATTCGTTCGTTTTGTCGTTTGTCTGGTCACTCGATCTTTCAATTGATTGTTCACTCATTCGTTCGTTCATTTGTCCGTTAATTCATCCATTTTTTTTATTTCTTCCTTCATTTTCTCTTCACTCATTCATTCGTTCGTTTGTTTTCTTCACTTAACCATTTCCTCAATAATTTATATTTCATTAAAGTTACACAATGGTTTTTTAATGGCAAGTTTACATAAGTTTGTGATCAGAAATTCGTCACTACCAACTAGGTCTATTTGCTTAAAGATTATAAATTCAAATTTTATTTTCAAAATCCCGCTCTTAGCGTTAAATCCAAGAACAACAACAACTACGACTACCACTACAACCACCACTACCACTACTACTACTACAACCACTACTACAACCACAACGACCACTACTACAACAACAACAACCACTACTACTACAACAACAACAACTACTACTACTACAAAAATGTCAACAACAACTACTACTACAAAAACGTCCACCATGACAACTACTACTACGACAACGACGACAACCTCAACTACAATAACCCCAACTACAACAACCACAAAAACGTCAACAACAACAACTACCACAAAAACATCAACCACAACAACAGCTTCTACTTCTACTACTACTACTACTACAACTACAGCCACTACAACTACTACTACTATCACAACGACTACTACAACTTCTTTTACCACTTCGACGGTAAGACTCGCGCCGATAACAACAACAATTATAATAACTACTGCTGCAACAACAACAATTACAACAACAACATCAGCAACAACAACAAAGTCATCATCAACATCGTCAACAACAACATCAATCACATCAACAACATCTACAAAAACTACTTCTACTGCTACTACTTCTACTAATGTTACAACAACAACAACAACAATAACAACAACAACAACAACAATAACAACCACAACAACTACTACAACTACTACTACTACTTTTATTTCAACATCTACTAATCTTGCCAATATTTTAACTAGTAAAGATAGTGTACTAACAAAAACGTTAACAGTTACTACAGCTACTGCTGCTGCTACTTCTAGAGCTTCTATTCTTACTACTACTACTGCTATTACTACTAATATTGTTACTACTACTACTATAACTACTACTTTTACCACCGAAACTACAACTATAACCTCTTCCATCTTAATCACATTCCAGGATGAAACCACAAATCCGGTTCCGCTACCAACGTCACCAACATCATCATCAATACCCCCACCATCATCATCATCATCCACATCATCATCTACATCATCAACAAATAACGGATTCGTACCTATAGATAATTCGTCCTCATCGTCATCATCTCCATCATCATCGTCGTCATCATCGCAATCAAATGCTGTGGCCCTGGGGGTGGGTCTTGGGATAGGACTGGGAATCCCCATTCTAATCGCTCTGGCAGTTTTGGCATTCTGGTTGGCTTCTGTTTTTTTTCAACTTTTTCCATGTCTAAACATACACGTTATTCAGAGACGAATCTCTTGTGTTTTAAAAGCCTATTTTGTGTTAGTATTGGTTGTACAATTATTGTGCTGGCAGTAAAAGTAGTAGTAATAGCATTAGCAGTAGTAGCAATATTAGTAGTAGTAGTAGCAGTAGTAGTAATGGAAAAAGCAGTGCTACCAGAAGTAGTAGCAGTAGTAAATATTATATCATTGATTTAATTTGGGATATTTAACAATGAAACAGTTTAATTTCTGAATCAAAAGTTTGAAAAAATTTTTTTTTCTTGAAGCTGTCGCCACAAAATCGCAGCTGCAGCTGGTAAGAAAAGCGACAAGCCAGTAGAAATCGGGTAATATTAATAATAATAATAGTGTTAACATCAATTCTTAGGAACCTCAACCATGAAATAATTTCATATCGATAAATCGAAACGCTAGTCAAATAAACATGACAATATTATAATAATATTAACAAATTTTACCAGTCAAATAATATTTATGACCAAAACTATAATAATAATAAACTATAATATAATAATAAATTATAATATAATAAACTGTAATATTTTTTTAAATATTCATCCAAGGCAAGTGACGAATGCTATATATGTGCATCCAAGAGATGGCTTAACTGTGAAGCAGAAAGGTTACGTCGAAGATAGCGTTATAATGGACCTACCTTATGACCCATCCATACAATGGTTGGTTATATTATTTAGTTATATATACATACACACATATATATATATATTTTTACAATATTCTATAAATTTTACCGAATGTTTGGCGTTAATATGTCTGTAGTTGGTTTTTTCGATTTTTCTCACTAAAGTTTTTTGTTGAACGTTTACAGTTTGAATTTTAAAAAACCAAAAAAACTTTAGTGAGAAACTAAAACTTTTGTTGACAACCTTTGAAAAAAATGAAAAAAAGAATTAGTGGTGTTTGTTGTTTTAATAGCATTAATGTTATTTTATTGATATGAAGAACTGAACTATGTGAGACATATTTGCTGAAGCGCTGTATGTATGAAACTACGAAACACACACACACATATACAAATGTGTGATTGATGTAGCAATAACTTATTTTAAAAACCACCACAGACGTATATAAACCTTACACCAAACAACAATGTAAAATAATTGATGCGTCTGGCATGCAGTAGTTGTAATGTTATGTAGATGGGACCCCCTATGGAGCACCGCTGCGGGGGGTCTCTCCTATCTATCTAACAGCATGCTGGTTCTCACATATAGCTCGTGTGAATCAAATAAAATCTTAATGACACGACATTTCATTTCTAGATGTTTGGTTTGAGATGTTGTCTGGTCAAGGCTCAACTGAAAATTAATGACAAAGGGCAAAATTTTCATCTAAATTATCAAAATTTTAATATAGAATGTTAAAATTTTATTAAAAATTTTGGCAGTTTCACAAAAATACATCAAAAATGTTATTAATAAGTCATCAAAGTTTTATTAAAAAGTTACCAAAAATACATTAAACACCATTAAATATTCAACAAATGTTCAATTAAAACCATCAAAATTATAAAAAAATGCGTAAAAATACATTTAATACCGTCATAACATATGAAATCATAAAAATTTTAACGAAATCATTAATTAATCATTAAAAATCCATCAAAAAACATCGATATTTGATCAAAAATCATCAAAAGACACTTCAAAATTCATCGAATATCACCAAAAAATACTCAAAATTAAAAAAAATCCCAACAACCCAGGGAGAACGGGGCATTCGAAAGCGAGGACAACATAGAAGCCGACGAGACCAGCGACAATTCAACATTTGGGCAGAGGCATCAACCACAGCAGCGGGTCATCGATGAAAATGATTCGGGTCACGTCAGCGATAAAGTCCCCAACCGCCCCAACTTCGTTTTATAATCATATATAAATAGATTTATAATTATATACAAATTTAATTATATTATATTTAATTTTATTTAATTAAAACTAAGCAAATATAATACCTTTTTTTTATTCTAAGTATACTTTGTTGTATATGCATATAGCATGTATGTATTGTATTATATGTGACTACAAATATTCTGGACATGTATATATTCTGCGTTAAACTATTTACTAACTTTTTGCATATATAAATTATTATCAATTGTAGCAATAATAATAATCATAGCAAAAACATGACTTCTTTGATTGACATTTGCATATGCAAATTTTTTAAAACAGAAATTTGATTCCTGATTGGCTCATTACAATTTTAGACCCGCCTCCGTTTGCATAAATTAAAACTAAGCAAATTATTTTCTGATTTTCTACTCAACTTTCGTTTACACTATAAACTGAAGTATGTTTTATTGATAACAATATTTTATACAAATAATTTATTTCTTTCATTTATCAGTTTAAATAAATTTAGTTATTGAATTTGAGCTGTTCAAATATTTGTGCGTCTTAAATTAATATTTATTCGGTTATATAGCTTTTGTTGTTCAGCGTATTACACACAGACACGCACACACACACAGACACGCACACACACAGTATATTGAAATTATTTCGTATGTTTGTCTTTTATTGAAGCGTTTTTAAACCTTCTGTCACACATCTTCTATTTAATTCATTGTCTTATGTGGAATAATATTGTGTTGAAATGTAAATCTATTGTTATATATATATATATATATATATATATATATATATATATATATATATATATGTGTGTGTGTGTAAATAATTCATTAAATTATGCAGTTGTTCCTCCCTACAACTATATACACACACACAAAAGTATAACACGTACATATGTAGCACATGTAGCTGTACGGTAGCGTGGCATATTTATAAACAATGACGTCATAATATTAATATCAATAATAATAATAAAATCAATTATAATGAGTATAATAATTATAATAATAAAAAGAATGAGCATGTTGATGATGTCGAGCTGTAATGATAATCACATTTACTGAGTTTTCGTTTAGTAACAAATAAAATCACTCATGTATATTTATAATTATTCGCTATTTATTACTATGGTTATTATTAATTATATTAATTATTATTATAAATTAATTAAAGTTATTCATACTATTATTTATATTACTTTATAATCATGAAGAAGGCCCTTTCATTTGCATATAATCAGATGCTAAACTGTACAGCCATCGAAACTCTTCCTGTTTGAACATGCGTGTCGTATGTACGACTTTGTATGTGAATATGTATGTATGTGTGTACGTGTATATGTATGTATGTGTATAAATTAGTATTGATTATTTGATCTTTTAATATTATTCTTATCGATAATTTATTCAATTTTTTTTTTAAATTGTATCAGCAAGTTATCAAACTTTTATGAAAAATTTCATAGCGAATAATTTTTCTAACAATTCCTAACCAACGTGCCGATGGCCTGTTGACGGCCAGAGATTACGTAGCGTGAAGCTAGCAGGGGGTCCACTAATTTACTAGCCTTCATCATGTCGATCATGTGCATGCAAGTCGCCATCAGGCCACACCTACTGAAACCATCACTGTGTGATAATTTATAAAGTCAAAAGCACTTGAAAACGGTGAATAGTTGAAGATTACCTTTAACGAAATACTTGCTTCAAGTCATTAAATGCTAAACATTTTCATTTCATTAATGATCATATAAAGTTAAAAACTGATAACAATTATAAGTAAATAAGTGGGAGGAGCCAACTTGCAAATTAGCATAAACTTGTCAATGGATGACATGCTTATCCTGTCGATCACTTTCAACAATTGATTGTTATTGGTTGGAATCGGTGACCCACTCTTCCAAACTGAGCCAATCAACTCAAACTGTGTCACCGTCAGCGGTTCTATGTACTTCTAATTAGAATCAACCGATTAATCTTGAAAAATGTAGAACTATATATTTTATTTTTTTTAATTTTCTGACTCAACTTACGTTTCCCGTTTCGGTGACGTCAAAATGCCTGACCATGAGGCACTCAAACTCTTTTGATTCGCTCTTAACGGACACCTCTATCGAATCGTACAGCAATGAAAATTTACTAGGCCAGAAAATCTTGAAGGTGTAAAGATTAGGAAGTTAATTAACATAAGCCGGCCACATAAATTAACATAATCAGCAATCAACAAAACAATTAAATTCGCTTCATTTGGAGCTTAACTTTGAAAAAATGAAAACACCTTGGGTATTTTAGATGGACTTTCTAATAGAATCAGAAATTTAATCCTCTGCTTCATGATAAACTTCCAAAGACCACAGATAGAGGCGTCGTTAGATGGGGCTGTGGTCATTGAAAATTCATCCATCAGCTTGTAGCCCTGGCCATTACAATGACGGGGAAATAATAGTAAGAAAAAAACAATATGAATAATAATAAACATCGCAATGACAACAATTACATTAACAATAGAGCATCGAACGTGACGTCAACGTTACAGATACTAACATCAATAGTAGTAACATTAATTAGGCTAGTGCTATCTTTTTTAAAGCTGCTGTTGCTAGCCATGAACTTCTTCGGTTTCATCTTCCTCAATTTCTCCAGTAACTTGAAAAAATTTTTTTTGTAAGACTGAATAAACAACGACAGAATTGTGAAATTTTTGTCGAGTTTATTTATTGATAAAAGAGACAACTGCCGCTACTACAACTACTACTACTTTTACTACAACTGCTGCCACTGTCACCACTACTAAAACGCTACTACTACAACTACTAAAACTACCACTACTACAATTGCTACTACCACTACTAAAACAAAAACAAGCAAACGAACAACAGACATCGAATTGCTGTGAGACAGTTTTTAATTTCGGATCAATGTTGTATCCATCTCTGTAGTAGCCGCTGTCCTTGCTACAGAAGTGTCGCAAGAAGTCGCCGCAAGGAACACCGGTGTTAAAAAGTACAGAGGCCTCGTTTATAGCGTTATATATGAAGTCGTACTGCTCCTAATGTACGTGCAGTAGTAATTTATTATTACTACTAACAGTATAAAGTATACATCAAATTAGTGTCACTTGGCAAAATGATGGTGTAACGAAAAGTCAAAGTCAGTTGTAGTAGTAGCTCATTATACCATTATTATAAATTATACATTCAATTAGTTTATAATGAGTAATTTTTGACAAGAAATGGCATAGAATTCAATTTAAAAAAGCATGGTCTTCTGCAAAAGTTATTGGCTTTGCATTGAATTGAGATCTCAGGCCGCTTCGTGTAAAGTCGTATATGAGTTGTAAATTGTATTTGATACCTCCTAGCGATATATATTACCGAATGATTATTAATATTATTCATAATTATGACTATAATTATTATTTTGTGATGAAATTATGAGTGACCTGGACTTGAACCATGCACATTCTTTGTTTCCTCAAGGTGCAAACGCAGTTAAAAACCGAAACCTGGTTTTCTCGAATCATCTGATCCAGCAGGTAATCGAGTGCTACGTATGTGCCAGTACGACCTACACCGGCACTGTTTGTTTGTGTGTGTGTGTGTGTTTGTATCTGTGTGTATGTATGTTTGTATGTATGTGTTTACGTGTATGCCTGTGAGCGTATGGATGTATTGTATTTAGTGAATTTGTACAGTGCTTCTTATGATGAGTGTGTGTACGTTTGTGGAGTGGAATTCATTATTAACAACATATACATATATGCGTGTGTATGCATGTGTATACACATATTATAATGAAGTGCCCATCAAGAAATGATGAATAAATTATGATAATGAGATGCCTACCTGCAGTGCACCAGCAAGGGACTCAAGAATTTCATCTTTTTCTGCGGTGGACACCTCTGCTGCTGCCTGTGGTATCTGGCGACGGAAATGAAATTTAAAAGTGAAACTGCACTTCGAGGGGACGACTTATCATGCCATGAAATGTAGTGCAGTTGAATTATCGACCTGCCTGAGTCGTCTGGCTGCAGAAATTTGAAAAAAAACTATATAGCACTTTATAGGAAAAAGTTCAAATACTCTCATAATTTCAATAATAATGATTATGATTATAATTATGACGTCACGATAGACTACAACAATTGTGCTAAATCTAAATATACAAATCAATGTTACTTATTCATTACCTTATCTTATCTTCTTCAAAACTCTCTATTACTAATTAACTACTTAATCAATGAATTAACGAATGAATTAATTATTGAATGAGTTAATTAATGAATCAATGAACTAATGAATGAATCAATGAATGAATCAATTAATCAGCTAATTAATTATGTTAACCAGTCTAACAAATTTAGAGTGCTGAAGGAGCAGACGCCTTAGTATGTAATGGCTGAAAGTTTCCTCTGCAATCATGGTAATGGAAAATGGTTCGATCAATTTAGGCTCTTTGGTGTTTTCCGGCCAGTACTGATCACATTTCTGGTAATCATCAACGTCATCATCATGATTATTCATCATCATCATAATCGTCACGATCATCATGTTGGCCTCCATCGCCATCGTCACCATCATCACATTATCATTATCATCATCACATCCTCATCGTCACCATCATCGCATCATCATCCTCATCATCATCACCACATCCTCATCATCATCACCACATCCTCATCATCATTTTTACAGATGGCTCTTCAATGAGTGGAGTTAGTATGATGATGACGTTAACCTCCCTTTGCCAAACCATCCTCCAAAAATCAGTGAACGTTGACATCAGAGGATCTGATTATGATGATGACGACGATGATGAAGAAGAAGATTGTGATAATGATCTCAATCGTGTTGATGACGATTTTCTACTAATGATGATGATGATGTCTTCAAGGTTTTTGATGATGATAATGATGATTGTAATGTTGGTGACGTTGATGATGACGACGATTATGATGATGATAGTGATAATAAGAATGATGATAATGATGATGACGATGATGAAACGTTTCTTACACTGAGTAGCTATATAGGCTCTTGATTGCTTCTTATAACCCTTGAAAAAATTATTTAAAAACATTTAATTGATTAAAATTAAATAATCAATTAACTAATTATCCAAAAAAAAAATATAATAGCGAGAATAATAATAGCAACAACAACAACAACAATAAAATAATTATGAGAAAAAACTAACTTTAATAAAACTAGCATTTATATACTGGGAGCTCTTCTTAGAACTATTACCATCACCACCATCTCCTTCCACGCCACTATTATCATGACCGTCATCACTTTTGTCATCATCCCCATCATCAGGTAGCAGCTTCACTAATGTATCGTCAACTGGATAGATGGTGTTTGATATATTTATGATACATTACGATAGAGTGATGTATATATATTTTGTCTACTACGTTTTTATGTCAATCAACCAATCAATCAATCAACCAATCAACCAACCAACCGACCGACCAATCAATCAATATTAAGCCTGCTAACATGGTAATATATTAGCAAATCTATTTTTGTCAGCATTCTCTGGTTTAGAGCCTTCAAAACACGAGCGTACATCATCATCTGGCAGTTTCTGGATAAAAGTTATTGAAAAAATTAATGTAAGATCAAATCGATAAATAATAAATAAATAAATAAATGAATAAATAAATAAATGAATGAAAGAAAGAATAAGCATACCAATCAATAACCTCAAATTCAGAGACAAAAATTCCCTTCAATTTGCATTCATCAATATAATCTTGGAGGTTTTCTATTTTTATGTCAGCCATCTTCTGAGCTGCATCTAGTTAACATAATTAATTAATTAATTAATTAACTTTATATTGTATTTTCAATTGATCTAATTTAATTAGTATTTTTCTGAGAATAAACCGCGAACAAATAGCTCAATGCATCACACACATTGCATACGATTGTCAATTCTACAGCAGTGCTGAACATCTTAACAATTACTTGAAACATAAAATATTATTAATAAAGTAATTAAATTAAATCATAACTCTGAGTTAAATAGCTATAAAAAAAGGACAAATTTAAAAGAAACATCTAAGATCTAAAAAATATGAATATTTATCTGGGTGAAAAACCCTAAATAGTTGGATTTGATGGCACCAACTAACTTTTTTTTGTTGCTCTGTTATCAGTGATGGCAGTCTCTTTCTTTGACAGACACGTCGGAAGCATGGGGCTGAAAGATATGAATATGTATGATACACAATTAGCTGAAATTAGAAAGATTAATGAATCTTTTCCAAATAATTCGCCAATCAGTTTGTGGGTCGTATATTATACAACACATTATATACCCAAAACTATTAGTTAGTTTTTAATAACAATTAATTTATTAATCATTAAAAAAAATTTTTAATTTTTAAATAAATAAAAAAAAAATTTTTTATTTAAAATAAATGAAAAAACGATAAAATAACGTACAGCCCCCTGTTCTTTCTAATCAAGAAAAACATGACAATTAGTGAAATGACAATGAAGCACGATCCGCCTGCGATGATTAGTACCGTCATTGTATCCAGGCCTGGTGAAAGCTCTTGATCAGGTCTAGAAAACGCACCGACCGGTTGTACAAACTTCGGAATTATTTCATCTGACGTATTACCAGTATATTCCAAGTTTCTATCTTTTTTCTTTTTAAAAAACACGCCACTTATGGCCATTATTAAACGGTTTATTTGAAAAACTTTCGTGCACTTATTGCAGAATAAAAAATGCCGTTTAAAAGTTAATATCAGTTAATTTTAAAAAAATATTTTAACGCATAATTTTTTAACACCTTACACTAACACATAATTGATCATTAACGCGTTAGGGTAGCATAATTACGTTGATTTTTTCATCTGAAAACTATTATATATTCAGGAGAAGCGCGTAAATTCATAAAAACGCATCAGTATTATATGAATGAAACTTCTACACTGACAGGTACCTCAATGTATTGCATGCATTTACAATGTCTGTGTACAAATTTTCATAAGGTTTTTTCTCTTTGAAAGTTAAAAGCAAAAGAAAAAATAGCTTTTATTCTTATTAGCACCAACTCGGCATTATTATTATAATTACTATTATTACGTTAATTATTATCTATTAAATGATTTAATAGATTTATCATTATTCTTATTCCATATTACAATCTATGTAATCATCATTCTCACCAATGAAATTATCATCACATATGCATAGCCTTATCTCGAAAATAGATGGAAAAATCTGGAAATAAATAAGTGAAAAACATAGCAGAGAAGAAAAACTCGACAGATTGTTTTAAAAAGCAGAAAGAGAGAGAGAGAGGAGAGAGAGATTAGTTATCATCTGGAAGCACTTTTAAACTTTTTAATTTACGGGCAAAATATTATTCAAAATAACATCGAATTAATTAGTTTATTCGTGAAACAGATTCTATCATCATCGTCGTCGTCGTCAGCATCATCACCATCCTAGGCTTTTATCATCATCGCCATCATTATCATTGTATTGCTACGGTCAATCAACACCCTTTCTTACATTAACATCATAACTAGTAATCATCATTTTCGCCATCATCATCTTCATCATCAGCGCCGGATCCGGAACATTGCGTTGGGGAGATGATTTTAACATTCTAAACCTGACGACTATTTCTCTAGTGATTCCCGAAATTTCCGTTTATTCCGGTTTCAGTTGGTTAGGAAATTCAAAATTCTCTAGTTAATGACCTTTAAACTGCTAACTGTCTTAATATATTTTACACGGGATCTTCAACATTTTCCTCTTTCACGGTCTGGTGAAGAGGGGTGCATCCCTGTTTCTCCCTCCTGGATCCGCCAGTGTTCATCAACATTTCTATCATCCTCCTCTCTCTCTCTCTCTCTCTCTCTCTCTCTCTCTCTATATATATATATATATATGTGTGTGTGTGTGTGTTTGTTGTGTGTGTGTGATTTATCTATGATCATCACCATCATTATCATCATAGTCTCGTTATTATTACTGAAAAGCAATCTATTTCACAAACATTAATCAAACAACAACAATAATAATAATCACAATAATCATAATAATAACAATCACAATAATAATAATAATAATCGAAAACAACAACAATAATAACAATAACAACAATAATAATAAAAATAGAGAATGCGTGTTATTGGTTGGATGACAAATTGTTTATGCAACGGCGTGCATCCTTTTGACGGTGATGAAGATGGCGACGATGGCCTCAATGATGATTGGTTGTTATTATTGTTATCTTTATTAAAATTTACACTATTATTATTATTATTAACATTTACATTATTATCATTGTTATAATAGTAGTAGTATAAATATTGTTAATGTTATTGTCGCTATTCTTATTAGAGTTCTTTTATCATTATCATTATTATCATTATTATTATTATTAATTATTATTATTATCATTATTATTATTATTATTATTATGGATGATGATAATGATGTTGTTGATGATAATGATGATTAACGTGCTTCTGAATTCTTTCCACGCTCTTCTCCAGGCCCAACATCATCATCATCTCCGCCACTGATGGCCCTTTCTGAATGAAGGAATGAATGGATGGATGGATGGATGAAGGAATGAATGAAAAAATAGATGATTGAATGAGTGAAAAATTGAATTAATTAATGAATGATTGAATGTATGAATGAACGAGTGAATGAATTTATTTAACAAATGAGTAATGAATAAACGAATGAGTGAATGAAAAAACGAATGAATGAGTGAATGAGTAAATGAAATTCGAATGAATAAATGAGTGAATGAGTAGATGAATGAATGAACAAATAAATGAATGAACAAATGAATGAATGAATGAACAAATGAATGAATGAATAAATGAATGATAACCTTCGGTCCTGATAACGCTACTCTCAAAAACTTCATAGCGTCACCGTAGTTTAATTCACTCTCTTCAATTGCACTCTTAACAACCGACGTTAATGATGATAATGATAAAGAGAGTGAGGACGATGACGTAATCGATGATGACGTAGACGGCGCCGAAGATGACGTTGATGATGACGAAGGAGTGCTCTTTGAGAAAGTTTTAAGACTGTTTATTAAATGTCTGACAAAATCTTCACTTACATTACATGATGATAAGAACGATGGTGATGGCGATAACGACGATGATGACGATGTTGCTGATGACGACGATGCTGCTGTTTCACCGTTTCCACGTTCTTGTGGCTGATGTGGTAGCTCCCATAAAAACGTAAACTCTGGTTTCAGTAAATCATCCAGAAAACTAATCCTATCCTATGACATGATAATAATAATAATAACAATAATTATAATTTTGATAATAATTAAAGAAAATGTTGATGATGATAATAATAATAATAATAATAACCTGGGTGTTATATAAAACATTAGCTAGATAGTTATCATCATTAAAATCCTCAGTCTTATGTGTTGATGACAAAACTGATGATGACGACAATGATGACGATGATGACGTCGTAGAACTGCCATTTTGGAAATATTTCTCCTCCAAAATTCTTCTCAAACGTTCTATAAGTTCACTTTTAGACTTGTCACACTTCAGCCTTCGTTGTATGGCGAGTCTGTTGAAGTCAGCCAGTCGATCAAAATCAACCCTTGTAGAGTTCGTGTGGAGTTTGGACAGGTCAAACTGAAAGAAATTAGGAAATTTAGGACGGAGGAAATGTCAAAAGTACACAAACACACATACAGAGACACACACAGAGACACACACACACACGTTATCGATCAGCTGGGGCAGGGACATCCCCGATGTGTCTTGAACTTTGAACCCTGACCCAGAGTTCGTCAATATGTTCAATACTGCTTCCGGATAGTAGCCCATGTTCTAGAAAGAAATTATTTGAAAAATTTAAATTGAATTAAAAATTGCCATCGGGATTGTTACAATAGTTCATGCATTTGTTCTTTCAATCAATCAATCGCTCAATTAATCAATCACCCAATCAATTAATTAATCAATTAATTAATCAATTAATCAATCAATCACTGATTCATTCATCCATATTATTTATCAACTAATTAAATTAACACAACTCTACAGATCAATCAATGCCCTACTTTGTAATGTTCCACGTGTGTGTCATTCTGTCTCTTTGAAAATTTCTTGCCATCCCTAATCAAATAAGTAGATATAATTATAATAATATAAATATAATCATTATATAATAATCAATATATGCATACATACAAACACACACACACACACACACACACACACACACACACACACACACACACACACACACATACACACTTGTTTTGCAATAATGGAAGATGAGCATAGGTAGGAGGAGTCCAATTGAAGGCCTTGTGAAGTAGGAGGTGCTTAACTGTTGAGACCTGCCATTCCTGAATAATAAATTTACATATTAATCAGTTGTCTAGCTAAGATATGCAGAGCTAATTGACGTAAGAGTGAACCAATTTTCTAGCCAATACATATATTGCTAATAAAGTATATTAGTAACTGTTGAACAACTGTTATTGAATGCTTTCTATAAATCCAACTCTAAAAAACAGATAGATATAGCTACTTTTAATATAAATGAAGTTATTCTTAGTACAAAATTCGAAATGTCAATCAACAAAACTAACCACGCCCCTTAGAACGTGTGTTATATTCATGAGGTGATCGTCTACGACATTGGCAAAATGATAGGTTGGATAGCCATCAGATTTTAGAATCACCTTAAAGGGAAAAGAAAACGGGAAAAAAAATATTTCACGAACTAATTTTTAATTTAAGAATTATGTTTTAGTATTCTTAAAAATAAAAAAAACTTTCATTTTAGTATTTGGAATTTTACCAGTAAACACATACAACATCACCCTCATTGGCAGCCACGTCATAATGTATTGGGCCATAGACTGCATCTTGCCAGCATTCCAAGTAGTGTTCTAACTTGAATCATGTTTAATTAGTATTTAATCAATTAATTAGTTAATTAACTAGTCAATTAATAAATTTATTTACTAATTATTCAATTCAATTGAAATATTACAAATAATTTACTATGAGATGTCTTTTATTTGAAAATTTAATAGCCATCAGAATTTTAAACGTGAATGAAAGTGATGATGGCTAACTTTGAATCTGATAACATATGGCAAGTTGGTCTCTAATTTCTTATCCATTTCTTTCTGTGACAGATGGCGACATCTGTTGTCGTACTTGGGAACTTCCCCACGACTGGCCGCTTGCCTCCTCAACAAATCCAATCGTTCAGAGCTGCAGAAACACTTGTAGGCTTGGTTAGTCTATGAAATTAAAGAGAGATATGCTTGTTAATCAGTGCTTATAAATACATTTTAAAAAAAGAATTAAAAAATTGACTTTTAATAAGTATATACCTTTAACAGGTGGTTGGAATATTCTTGATAAATATGTAATCTTTGTGACTGGATGTACGGACCATGTTGACTCCCGATAATGTGTGGGCCCTCATCAAACTCAATGCCGGTCCACTTCAACATGTCAATCAGGTGTTCAGTGGCCCCATCAATAACTCTTGTCTGATTCAATTATTCATTAGTTAGTACTGTCAGCTAATTTAATTAATAGTGGGTATAATTATAAACAGATAAGATAATTTAATTTTTCAATTTTTATCACAAACAATTCAAACTGAATTGTTTATAAAAAAATTATTCAACCAATAGGACAATTGGACTTCTTTCATTTCACTCAATCAATCAATTGAAACGTGATCAATTGAACGACATACCTGATCAGTGTCTTCAATCCGGAGTATATACTTTCCCCTGTGACTCTTGCAGAAGAGGTAGTTGTACAGGGCAGTCCGAAGACTCCCCAGATGAATGTGACCGGTCGGGCTTGGTGCAAATCGCACGCGAACAGAATAAAATCGACTCAAAAATACAGATTTTTCACGAATAAATTTTGTAACTAAAAACATTTTTTAGAATAAAACACGCAAATTGGTAAATTAAAAAACTTTCGGTTCTTGATCCTCCGAAAAAAACATTCTCAAATTTCGGGCAAATTGCGCTTAAAAGTTAATTTAATCTTTATAACTTTTAACTAAATCAAGTGGAGCTCAACTGTCAATTAGTTTTCTATTTTTAATGTTACCTGTCGAACTTTTTTATTTTACGAATAGTGCGTTAGAAATAAACTATTCCGCTTAAAACTTTGAAAATTTGTTAAAGTTAATTTTGATAATTAAAATTTAAAGTTACGACATTAAGTGATGCTAGGTGGCAGTAACAGTCTAATTATTTGTTTTGCCAACAAAATCGATATTTATTTATTTAAATTATTAATTAAGTATATTTAAATTTAATAAGATTTAACGAACGAACGTTCTATCTTCAATTTGTTAATTTTTGTTTCCTAAAATTTATTTGTAAAAGTCTATCAATCCGTATTTCTGATTTATTCATATGCACAACTTGCTAGCTTGACATTTCATTTCAGACAACTTTAGAGTTTAGCCCAAAATTAAAATAAAAATTAACTGATTAAATAAGAAAGCCCCGATTAACATACAATATGGCACAGGGTCGACCAATAAAATGTGTTGTCGTTGGGGACGGTACCGTGGGAAAGACGTGTATGCTCATTTCTTACACCACTGACAGCTTTCCAGGAGAATATGTCCCCACAGTGTTAGTGTAGATTTGTTTTTAAATTATTTTTAAAATGTAAATAAAATTATTTCCAGGTATTTCTACATCATACTGATACACCATAACAATATAACATCTTGATAAAATAATTATGTGTCTTCATACTTCATAGATTCATTTTTTCATTAAAGATTAATTAAATCTGCTAAATAAATATTTAAAATGTATGTTTTTACTACAGATTTGACAACTACACAAGTTCTATGATGGTTGATGGTGTTCCAGTAAGTTTGGGGTTGTGGGATACAGCAGGCCAGGAAGATTATGATAGACTACGACCTCTCTCTTATCCCCAGGTAGGTTCAATTTCTGGGTTTTTTGCTAGTTTGGGATTAGGAATTTTGTCAGTTTGTTTAAGAAAGAAAATATATTTAATATAAAAATATATTTAATAATCAAATTTAGTTTTCTTTCAAAATGGCCATCAGACTGATGTTTTCTTGATCTGCTTCAGTGTTGTGAGTCCATCTTCATTTGAGAACATCAACACAAAATGGTGTCCAGAGATTAAACATCATTGCCCCGATGCTGCAGTCCTTCTTATAGGTTGGTTAGTTGGTCAGCTGGTTGATTGGCTGGTCAGGTAGTTGGTTGGTTGGTTGGTTAATTAGTTAATTAGTTGATTGGTCAATTTTTGTTGTTTTTTAATTCATCTGACAAACTTACTACAGACAAACACACACAATAACCACTATAAATTCATAAAACTCCATCCAACATCACATGACCAGGCACCAAAATAGATCTTCGAGAAGATAAGGACGTGATCACGCAGCTGGCCAACAATAATTTATCACCTGTCAAAAGGGAACAAGGAATCAAAATGGCGTCTAAAATCAGGGCTGTCAAGTATCTAGAATGCTCTGCTTTAACTCAGAGAGGACTTAAACAAGTAGGGTTTAGAATGGGGTTGAAAATTAGGGATGTGGTTGGCTTTTTTTTAGAGTTTGGTTGGGATATTTAAATTTTTTTTACTGAATTAGATTTCATTTTTTGGTAGTTACTATTTTTCTTTATGCAAATTTTTTTTCGAAAATTTTCACAGGTTTTTGATGAGGCAGTAAGGGCAGTGCTAAATCCACAGCCAACAGTTCGACCAATTAGGAAGTGTTCCCTTCTGTAGGATTATTCCTATTGGTCGCTATTTTCAAACGTCAAAATTCATTGTAATGATAATTATATAAATAATTAAATGAATATATATATATATATATATATATATATATATATATATATATAAATGAATGGATAAATAAATAAATAATAGTTTTTTAAATATATATGTATATATTTAAATAAATCCGTGTGTAATTAAAAATTAATAGAAGAGAAAAATGTCTGTTTAGTGACACTTTTTTTATTTAGTTGTGTCGTAGTTGCAGTCGTCATTTCATTATTCTCATCATCGTCGTCGTCATCATCATCTTCATCATCGGAATTTTATTTTTACCCCATATACGAACAAATGATGATAATAATTGGCCAATTATACATACTTTCTTGCTATATTAATTAATTACTTTAATTTAATTTTTTATTTTTATAACTCCGCCATCGTCTTCGTCCTCATCATCATCATCACGATCGTGGTTATTATCATTTGTCATCGTCGTTATCATCGTTTCTTTAATCACTGCTATTATTTTAGTCAAGGTTATTTATGTTTAGTAACGTAATCTCGTGTTCTATCATTCGTCATCGTGCTTGCTTGTATGCCAATGGTGGCCACCGAGTTAGCTCAGTCGGTAGAAGCGCCATGTCACGCGTTACTATTACGCGATGGCATGCTTCGAATACTGCCTATATGAGACTCAAAGACTACGTACCCGTGTCTATAGTGTGTATATGCATATATGTGTGGTGTGAATAGTGTACAACCTTACAGGTTTAGTGTACAACATTGAAGGTTTGGTGTGCATCCTTTCGTGTAAGCGGCTCTGAGTTTGACGGAACTGCATTGTGAAGGATAATAAAAAAAAAATCTCTGCTATCTTCATTGTTATCATGTTTATCTTCTCTCTCTCTCTCTCTTCATCTCTCTCTCTCTCTTCTCTATCTATCTAACTAACTCTGTTTTCTCACTCCATTACAATCATCATTGATTTCTACGATATATCGCCATGTAATGTAATTTAAAAATGCCAGTTATATTATATTTATTATATATATATATTATTATTATCAATTATTATATTTGCTATCGTTAACACATCACTACCAGCATTAACTTTATTATTGCATGTACCGTTACTATTTTTGTCATTTCTGTGGTTATTATCATTATTATTTATTTAATATTTATTTATTATTATTATTGTCTTTTTGTTTCGAAATTAATCCATCAAAAAAATTTCATCTAGTCAAAATTGATTGAGGTACACAAATTACATTAATATTATAGTTATAATTATTATTTTATAATAATGATAATTATTATTATTATTAATTATAATAATTATTATTATTATTAATTATAATAATTATTATTACTACTACTGCTACTGCTGCTACTATAATCATGATTTTCGTCTAAAACTCGGATCGTTTATTAGTAACTTTTATTACGTAAACTATTAGAAGTGTTAGTATACATACAGGCACACACACACACACACACACACACACACACACACACACACACACACACACACACACACACACACACACACACACACACACACACGTGTACACAGACGAAGTAGATAATTATTACATATTATTATGACTTCGAAAGTAATTATAAGTAACGTGTAAGCTACTTGAGCAATCGATTAATCACTTCTAACATATAGTAATTATATGTATGGGTTATATATGTATATATATATATATATGTGTGTGTGTGTGTATGTACATTATATATGTATAAATAATGAGTTATGCATGCTTATATATATATACCTTATCAGTTTATGTGTATTTCTTTATTACTGTATTATTCATTCATTCACTTAGTTTTTTTCTCGTAGTATTTGTCTTTTAATAATAATGATAATTTAATTAATTATACTAATAATTAATCAACAGCAAACAACTATGAATGTTTAATAATTTTATTATTATTATTATTATCATCATTGTTGTTATTGTTGTTACTATTGTTATTATTATTGCTGTAATTATCATCATTAATATTGTTATTGACAACTAAGACAATTGGTGGTGATGATTCGGTGATGAAATAAGTTTTATTTAAGAAAAATAAATTAAAGAATGAATGTAAAAATTAACGAATAAAGGAATACAATAAAAGAGAAAGATTGAATGAATGAAAGAACGAAGTGATGACAAAAATATATACACATAAGCTTTTCTATATCCATCATAAAATGCTATGATATCTAGAATTTATCACTCCTATGTTCGTTATCAGAGAGAGAGAGAGAGAGAAGAGAGAGAGAGAGAAGAAAGGAAAGCCTTGAGAATTTTCGTTTTAAATATTTTTCATTCAATTATAGAGTGGCCGACAACTTCTCTTCTAAATGATTAGCATACTAAATTAACCAACCGATAATTAATTGATTGATCATTCAATCAGTTTTCTTTTTATCCAATTAATTTGTTTTTAATATAAAATTGCACGTAGACCTAGCGATAGAATCGTCGCCCAGCTAACAAACAATTATCTGTCCGAATAAAATAAATAAATGAGCCGAATTGGCAAACCAAAATAGTTTAAAAATTTAAATAAAAAAGCAGAAATAATGAATAAATAATTATAAATAATTATTGTTATAATAATAATAAACTAACTGATACAATTGCAAACTCGTTATTGATTTTAACACATACACTGTAACGAATAAACGCTTGCATATGCTGTATAGCTAATGTATATGTATGTATCATATCATCTCATGTTTCATGCAATTTAAATTTGATTGACAGTTAACTGATACTATAAATAGTACGATTGATTGATTAGTTGGCTGGTTGATTGGTTGGCTTGGTTGACTGTGATTGGCTAGTTGTTGAAGAGGGGGAGGGGATTAGAATAATCGTCGAATAGCCGCTGGGGAAGTTTGACGCGACATGCAACGACACCTGAAAATTTAAAATCAATCAAATTCGGTTAGTGGATTGAGAGAATAATAATAATTAAATAATAATAACTAAAAAATAATAAATTTATAATAGAAGGCAAACCGGTCATTGGTTCGGGCAGTTTATTCTTCAGAAGCTCCCATGAATCTGTTTCAATATTGTAGGACTGGGCATTCTCTTGGAAGCTATGGGCGTCCCAGCTATAACCACCCAAGATAAAAACCTGTTCAGGAAAAGTATAATAATAATTATTTCGCATGAATTACGAGAATAATTAAATTATGATAAATTATTCAGTATTTTCAGAGACGATGCATGATGGATGACCCTATCACAGCCGACCAATCAATCGGACGAGAGGGATTACAACCAAACTACAAATCATCGGGCTGACCGACGCAGGGACCAACCTTTCCATCACATTTAACAGCAGGTGCTTCTGACTGCCCTTGAGCTGATGACGACAGAATCGTCCAATCATCAACCTCGATGTCGTAGCACTCGGTCATGGTTACGTCGTGACGATCACCTAGCGATAGGTAATGCATAATGCACTCATTCCATAATAGTTATTCCATAATATTTATTACTATAGTTAGTATATTTTTCAATGGAAGTAACAGAAGAAACGATGGCACAAATAACGTTATGACTGTGAAAGAAATAGCCTTGCAGACAGCAGCAGCAGAAACGTACCAGCATTAGTGTTACCGGCACAGACATAGAGCTTGCTGGCGTGGCTGACCATTACATGGTAACCTCGACTTTGATTCAGTGAACTCCTCTGCTGCCAAGAAGGTCTAGTCGTTTGTAGTGATAATGATGATAAAAATAACGAAGACGATGAAAAAGATGATGACGGTGGTGACTACGATGTGATGAAGAGATGAGGATGACGACGATGGTGGAGGTATGATGACGTATTGAAGCTGATGACAGATGTTAATATCACTACCTTTCCAAATCAAAGCACCAGACATCATCAGTGAAATCTTCACCAGGACAACCTCCAGATATGTACACCTGTGCAGCATCAGACAATCATATCCATATAATTTGTGTAAATTTATACAGAACCCAATTAATGAATAAATATTACACTAATTGCCTAACCTTAGAACCATGGGCACATCCAGCGTGACTGAACAACGTATGCTGCAAACTCGGGATAGGGGTCCACTCATTGTTGGCAAAATCGTACTTTTCCGCCGTATTTAGGGCCACACGATTATGCTTGCCCCCGACGGCCACCAGGCAGTTAGGCAGAGCAATTAGGGAGAAGTGAGTTCTGGGCACACTCATGGAGGATATTTGAAGCCATTTGCCATCCCTTGGATTGTACCTGTAGTACGTATTTGAAGGTATAAATATATATTTTTTTATAAATATAGAACTAATTATGTAAATAAATTATATATATATATATATATATATATATATATATAAGAAAATAGACGGATAGAAAAATGTGCTGGAGGCACACATAAATGTAATACACCTAGCTACAAATCAAGAATTTAAATAAACGACATCTGTGCTTTTTCAATTTTAAGGAGCGCATCAAAAATGCTTTTTAAAAAACAGCAATAAGTAAGATGATTAGAGTACGATTTCATAAAGTAATTAATATCTACTGGACAGATGAAAGAACAGCCAACCAACCAGCCAACCAATCAACCTGAAAGCATTATTAGTGGCATGGCTTCCGTCGCCTGCCATGGCAGTCTGCCCACCGACAACGTAAACAAAATCATTAACGACCGCAACTGCCGCAAAATATCTACGATCTTTGGTGGGAGCCAAACTGACGAAAGGTCCTAACTGGCCTCCTTTGATTGGGGCGGCCATCATGTTCGTGCAGAGGGTGTTGTCAAGATAGCCGGCGCCCATAACAACCAGACAGTCCTTGTAAGCTCGCATCTTGCAGACGTGAGGAGCAGCTATAGAAGTTAACGGCGGGATGATAAGGATGTCGTGATGTACTAATGAGGATGATGATGATGATAACAATCTGAATGGTAGTAAAATAAGAGTAATATTGAAAATAATAAAAATGACTTCAACGGTAATAAAAAATAAATAGTGAAAAAACAAAACAGATTCCTAACAAGTGACAGGCTGACTGAACAGCTTCATGTGGTAGGACAGACCAGCTTGTAGTACATCTCTGCAGGCATCACCTCTCAGCACCGGGTGGCTGTATATCGACTCAACTTGTTCAGCACTCATCAGGCCATACCTAATTAGGGAAAGAACCTGAAAATAAAGTGACAAACTCAAACGTTAATATATGATCTCTCGTGTTTTGAAAAATTTGACAATCATTTTTATCGTCCACTGCACATTTGTGTATTAAACTTGCATGCGGTAGACATAGAATGCTAAAACTTTTATGAATTTTACAGAAAAATCAATAAAAAAATCATTGAAGAAACAAATTATCACAAAAACTATTAAAAGTCTGACCCTTCTTTGCAGTTCCTGACCTCTTGACGCCATGCCAGGCCCCTCTAACCAGCTCAAGGCTATCTGTCCAATAGAACAATAACATAAATGATAATATCAATATAATATTAAACAATTATAGAAATAATTATAATGATCGGACAGACAGACCACCTTGAAAACGTCCATTTCAGAAGGAGCTCGCAGACGATCATCAGCCAATAACTCACACAAGAGCTCTGCAGTTATTTGCTTGAAGTCCTCATTCTTTGATACAGGAACAAAATTGTCCAATATGAATGCCTAAAGAAAATTAGAATAAGGGGAAGAGAATAAACAATAACAATATAAATCCACTCCATCATCACTCTAGTTACTTAGTTACCTTAGTGTCCCGTTTGCACTCCTGCAGTCCATAAGTTTCAGCCAGCCTCAAGAAATGCAAGCAGTTGTCAACAGTCAATTCATCTCGGAGATGTCGTGCGCAGAAAGTCAGAACTTCATTGAATTGCAAATGGTCTGCGGCCTCTAAAACATCCTGTTATTATACACATGAATATGTTAACTAAAAGTTAAATGTATTATATTAGTTTTCACAACATTATGACAACTATTTAAGTATACAGTAGGCAATACAATACATAATTACACATCTGCAAGTGATTTTTGTAAAAAATGAAATGTAAATGCTAAATAAGGAAAACCTGAAGATTTGCATCATTGATGACTATGGAGCCAGTGTAAGAATATTCGAGAAGAGCTCTAAGACCCAGAGCAGAAACAGCCTTTAACTCGACTTGTGCCTGCATCTTCTCAGCAAAATCTTTTGTGAACATTGAGTAGAAGTACTGACTGCAGGCCGCAAGATAGCAGCGATGTACATGAAATGTTTGTCCCTGCACTATCAGCTGGGTGTCACACATCGACGAGTCCTGCCAGAGACGTTGGAATCCCTCAACGACTGAACAACCGTGGGACGCTGAGTTGTAACTTCGACCTTGTCCGGCTCCGGTAACTGCTGACGTCGTCGTCATCGTCATTTCGGCTGCCGGAAGACCAGCCGGAACGGAGGGAGATAAGGACGAAGACGCTGAGTGAGGAATGCCGTTGTTGGTAAACATTTTCTTGCTTTGCGAAAGATTTAAAAGGCGGTGGCAAACGAGAAAATGATTTTTTTAATTTTGCCAAAGCAAGACGTCAGACATTTTCAATAAAATGAAATTTTTATCCAATCTTTTTAATTAAAATCGAGACTACAACACAAAAAGTAATAATAATAAAGAGATTTAAAGAACCAAAGAATCATCGAGATTAGAATTAATTTTGGTTTTTAAATAACTGGAAATAGTGAGTTTTACATAAATATACGGTAAAAAATTTTAAAATATTAAACTATTATACCTAAATTTCAAATTACATAATACAAATTTAATTAGTTGATTGTTTGAAAAAAAGAAAGTGATGATTACGGGGAAAGGTAGAAACAATGCGGAATTTCAGATAGAATCTGAAAAACTCGAACTAGTAGGCTAGACCAGTTTGTGTATCAACTGCACAAAAGAAATTGACAGAAGAATAGCAATAGCCCATGGAATGTTCACATCATTGAAGGAAATATGTAAAAGTGGAAATATATCTATAAAAACAAAGTTGAGAATGATAGAATCTTGCGTTTTTCCGATCTTGCTCTTTGCATGTGAGACATAGACAATAAAGAAAAGAGTCAAGGACAGATCGGAGGCATTTGAGTGGAGTGTTACCAAAATTTGTTGGGAATCAGTTGGAGGCAGAAAGTAAAAAACGAAACCATCAGAAATAAACTTGGAAGACGGAAAATTATATATGACAAAGTCAGAGAAAGAAAATTGGGATTTTTTTGAACACATTAGTAGAATGAGGGAAGACAGATTGATTAAGATGGTACTTATGAGGAAAAGAGATTGGAAGAAAAAATTGGTAGACTTGCAAAGAAATGGATAGATGACATTAATGAATAGACTGGTGTTGGTATTCTGAATTCAATAAAACTGGCCAAAGATTGAAAAAGTTTTCGAAAGAAAAAAAAAGAAATGTAAAAACCGTGCTAAGATGTACATCATCGAGCTCGACGGTCCCCTGATGGATAAAAGAGGATCGATTGATTGTTTGATTGATTAGTTGAACAATCAATCGTTTAGTTGATTTGATTCATTTGTTGATTGATTGATTCATTTGTTGATTGACTGGTTAATTGATAGTACAGTATCAAACAGTATCTTATTGAACAAAGTAGTATCATAAAATGAATAAAGATACTTTTTATAAATTTTAAAAATTTTCAATTTAATTTCACTGTGATATCGACCATGATGATTGAGTTGTGACTGACTAATTAAAAAACATCAAATAAAACTTTTAAAATAGGATGGGCAAATGACGTCATGTTAACAGTAGTTATTTAAAGTGAATTTGCCGGTATAAAGGTTCAATTCAATTCCTATCAAATAAATTTGACCAAATATCATAAGCAGGCAAAACTAAACAAAGAAATAGATAGATAGATATATGTAGTTATAATACATTAATAATGTTATATTTACACATTCAAATTGTACAATTGTGTTACGGTGTAGTCTTAAATTGTTTTGAATTCTCTCAGAAAATTTAAACTTTTACTATATACTAGTTACTTTTATCAAAAAATTAAAAAAAAATCAATTTGATTTCATATGATGATGATTGTTACCTAACTGATTAAAACGCATCAAAGAAAATATTTTAAGTAAGATGGAGAATTTGTTACGGAATCGTTGGAGGAAAGACGTCATGTTAGCGGTATTCTATACATGGATTCTATACTTAGTGAATGAATCCCTTCAACTTCTACACTAAGAGAACAAGCTTAATCTGGAAAACTGATAAGCATAAAAAGAAATAGATTGCAAAATAGTTCAATTGAAGGGTGTGCGTGTTTAAATGATTGGATGGAATTACTTTGCAAATAAAACTTGTGTTTATGTTCTATTTTAATTGAATTTTGAATAAAATATTTGTTAAACTCGCTCGCGTTATTTCTTTGATATCGATATTGGGGATATTTGTATATAAAGCGAGCAAAATTTTAATATAAAAGCGCTTATAAATCTACGCATATTGGCTCGGATTGGCTTGGCTCGGCTTGGAATTGGATGTTAAGCAAGGTGTGGTATCAAACTATTAATATATTGAATTTCCCAAGAAAAATTTGAACTGCGTGCGTACATATGTAGCACTGATTACTCTTGCTTATATAATGAGTTTTAATAATTGATATAAATCGAGCAAAAGTGTAATATAAAAGCGCTTATAAATCTAATCTACACGCATATTGGCTCAGCTTGGCTTGGCTCGGCTTGGAATCGGATGTTAAGCAAGGTGTGGTCTCAAACTATTTTGAATTCTTCATGATATAATATATAAGATAATATGTTTATATAAAAAGCAATATAGCAGATTCGACCAGCCAATCAAAATGTTTCGAATGCGTTTGTTCGATGACGTCAATTCAGTACGGTTAGCATTGTTGTTAAGATTGTATAATAGTGTACTACATACATTAAAAATGTTTTTACTAATGTGAATGATTGAAATGATGAGAATGTATGGTTGAAACGAGTATAAATAGGACCTGAGAAAGCATGAAAATCAGATCAGGCATTCTGCCTCGCTTGAAGCAGTCTGCCTGATCTCATTTATTTTATTTTTATAATTTTTTTATTTTTATTTATTTTGTTATATAGAGTTATATAGAGTTGCGCGGTTATATATGTTTGTCTGTGGTCTGTACGTTTGTTTTTTTTTATTTTAGGTTGGTTCTTTAGCGGTTGCTCATACATGCATACATACATACATCATGTTTGTCTGTGTGGTAGTATTTTATGTTCTGTTTTACTCCTATTTCTCTTTCTTCATGAGTCTTAAGTTAAGTTAATGAAACATAGGTAGGTGAGATTAAAAATTAATTTATTATATAGGTAGGCCAGGGCATAAGGTAATTTAGTTACATACGTAGGTTAAGGACTTCTATTCTTTTACTTTACTTGGTGGTGTGTTTTTTGTTTTGTTTTTTGTTTTGTTTCACAACATACATTTAACAGGTACGCGGTGGTTCATGGTTTTAGTGGGGTTTTTATTGATTGAATGTGGTAGTATGCATGGTTATATGGAGTTATATGGAGTTATATAGAGTTATATAGAGTTATATAGAGTTATATAGAGTTATATAGAGTTATATAGAGTTATATAGAGTTATATAGAGTTATATAGAGTTATATAGAGTTATATAGAGTTATATAGAGTTATATAGAGTTATATAGAGTTATATAGAGTTATATAGAGTTATATAGAGTTATATAGAGTTATATAGAGTTATATAGAGTTATATAGAGTTATATAGAGTTATATAGAGTTATATAGAGTTATATAGAGTTATATAGAGTTATATAGAGTTATATAGAGTTATATAGAGTTATATAGAGTTATATAGAGTTATATAGAGTTATATAGAGTTATATAGAGTTATATAGAGTTATATAGAGTTATATAGAGTTATATAGAGTTATATAGAGTTATATAGAGTTATATAGAGTTATATAGATACCTTTATTTGCTCTTCTTTTCTCTTTTCTTTGCCGACCGGTCGGTTTCTTTGCAGTTATTTTTATTTAAATTAAATAAATAAGATTTTTCCATTCATTTAGGTTTTTCAGGTTCATTTATCCAGGTTGAAGCTTCCAGAGGAGTTCATCGTGGACGATCAGAATGGTTGTGATGTCACGCTACGTTTGTTCATTCGGTGGCAAAGAATGCACGCCCTGCTGGGGTACGTTTTACGGTTTCTTTGCGGTTCTTTTTTTTGCCAGTTGGCTGGCTTTTACGGCGGGTTTCACCGCGGCTCGTTTTTCTATTTTCTTTTAAATTAGTCAATTAAATAAGATTTTTCCATTTCATCCATTTTATTCAGGTTGAAGCTTCCAAAGGAATTCATCGTGGAAGATGTCAGGCTACGTTCGTTCATTCAGTGGCAAAGAAGATACGCCTGGCTGGGATACGTTTTATTCTTTTTTCTCTGTTTTTCTCTGTAATTTAACATTAAGTAAAAATGCTCACACTCACACGCACATACACACAATTACATTAAGTAGCTATATAGGTAGGTTAGATAGGCATAATTTTAATTGTAGGTAGAGTAGATAAGAAGCATCCAACACTAATGTAGTTGAATAGGTAGGCAGCGTAAGTTTATCTCTTCTATTTTTTCTCGCACCCACATTACACGCATCAGCGTATTATACACACACACACAAATACATACATAAACACATATTAGTATTTGAGCGTTATTTTATTTTCATTACACATTCTAATTTATTATTACTAAGGTTGAGAGTAATTTAATTTCATAGGTAGTCAAAGGCAATAATGTAATTCTAGGAACAATCTTGTAATTTAAATTAAATAAACGCTGTAAGTGTATCGATAGGTAGGTTAATTATTAAGTTTTTAATTATTATTATTAGGTTGGAGCCCAAGGCATTACGTAGGTGGTGGGGTGGGTGCCGAAAGGCCAATGAATTGGGCTCTTGAGTTTTGTAATTTTAGGTAAGCTAGGGCCATAATGTAATGAATAGGTAAGTTAAGGCTACGTTGTAATACATACTCATTAATAGATTTAGGGTTTAAGTTTTATATTATTATTACTAAGTTGGAGCCCAAGGCATTACGTAGGTGGTGGGGTGGGTGCCGATTGGCCAATGAATTGGGCTCTTGAGTTTTTTGTAATTTTAGGTAAGCTAGGGCTTAATTGTAATGAATAGGTAAGTTGAGGGTACGATAGCCGATTGACTCTGGATTTCAAAGTCTCTTGTCAGAGGTAAGCCTTGGTGGCCAGTTTTGTGCCGGCAATGGTTTACTATCCAGACGGCAATGGTTTACTATCTGCACGGTAATGATTTACTATGCGGCACGGCCATAGTCTACTACCCGCACGGCTTCCGGACGGCAAATGGTTTACTAT